TCGTATTAGATATAAGTATAAGACAGCGCGATTACGTTCAACGTCCGTCACCGTTTACGCTACGTGGTATCGTTTGAAGTAGATCTCGAATGAATTTCGTTACATATCGAACGCCATGTCATATATCGAACATCTCGATCTCGTTCGATTTTACCGTACCGGCGCGAATGCCGAAGCGAGTCGCAGTTAACGCAACTCGGGCGCGAAACGAAAAACGCGCGATCGTACAGACCTTAAATAAGTTACGGGCGGGCAGGACGGCATAGCGTTAATCGACGTAAACGGCGTCTCGCATAAATCTTCAATTTTACCGCTCCGGGCGGTCGGGTTCCCGCGTAGAGCCAGCGCCAAGGGGCGGTCCTGCTCCCGCGGCACTTTTCTCTGTCCCTCTGCCCGGTGCGGTGCGGCGCGGCGCGGCGCGGCGCGCGAGCCGTATCTCGCACAAGAGCAGCAATCCCCGCGTCAACCCTTCGCCGGCAACGGCAACGGCAACGGCAACCCTCCGCGCGCCCGTCCGTCCGTCCGTCGGTCCGTCCATCCGTCGGTCCGTCCACCCGTTCGCTCGCTTCGCCGGTCCTTCTCTTCGGCCGGCGCGGATCTTCTTTCTCTCGTTCGTTTCCCACCGCCTGCCGCCGATCTCACGCCGACGATGCGCCGTCCTCGTTTCTCGTACTGCCCGCCTAGGAGAAGCAACGACGGTGATTGCGAGAGCGCACGGTAGGGGCGCCACCGTACGGGGCAAAGTGGCCAAGAGGGGCCACCGGCTTGCTCCGCCGCTGGCCGGCGCGCGTAGTTCTCTCCCTTCGGCTTACAGCATCCGCCGGAGCTTCTCCTCTCTCCGCCTACGCGGTGCGAGTGTGCCGTGTGCGCCAGTGCGCCCGCAAGCCCGAAAGTTCGCGCTCCGCCACGCAGCCCAAGCTCTCTCTACCCGCGCGCTGATCGGCCACGTTCGTCAGGCCGGGAGCCCCCACGTAAAAAGAGGCACCGGGGCCGCGCGCGCGAGCCGAGGAAAAGGACGAGAAAAGAAACGATTTGTTTAACGTATATATTTAGAAATAAAAAAAACGAAAAGTTCGGTTCTCACTTTTTTTTCTTCTTAAGTAAAAAAAAAAAAAAAACGGAAAGTTTCGCGACGAAGAAAAAAAGAAAGGGAAGCAAAGGTGCCGGGGAAAGGACTTGTTAACGACGCGGCTCGACTTAGTAGATACTGTGATGTTAAAAGCTCGCCCGAGAGCTTGCAGTGAGAGAGGATCGAAGAAGATCGTCAACCTGCCGGCTTCGAGTGCGCCGATGTTGTGAACATCTTCTTACCCGTCCTCGTCCTCCGAACTTGTCTCCTTGGGATCGGCGCGACAAACAGGTGAGTGCCGACTGAATCAGCGAGCGAAGGGAGACGTTATCACCCTTCCTCGTTCACTTTTCATTTTTCTCGTTCATTTTTCCGCGCGTCGTTTCGAGTTTCACGCCACGACCCTTCTTCTCTTGAATCGCACGCGAAGCGATCGTGTGATTCTTCGGGCTGTTAATCGTTTCGCTATCTCGATTCTCGATCGCGTGGATTATTTTCGCGAAAATTAAGACGATCGAAACTTTAGAGCGAGTCAAAAAGAAACGAAGATTATTGAATTTCTCGTCACGACAAACGGGATTATTCTTTTATCTTATAATTTTCTTTCATTTTATGATTCAAATCATGATTTTCTCTTTTGTTATAATGCCTTATCTTGACGTAAGACATCAATGTAAGAGAGTACAAGTACAACAAACGGAAAGACGTAAAATTCCCGCGAAAAGTGGAGATAAATAGAGATGCGCGTTGACTTTTTTCGCGTGTCGGCAAAAATGAAAACAAACGGAACGTTCTGTGTTCTAAAGTGGAGCATACAAACGCGGTTTTATACACAATTAAGTAACCCTTGTGACAGCACTTACTTTCTTTCAGTAGAAGGATACGTTGCTCGAGAAACGGCGCGTCTTCCGCTCGCGCTAGTGAAACACTCGCTTATTTTCCTCACGGCGTCTGACTACGCGGGCCGTTTCCCCTTAAACTAGCTATACTCCGCGCGAAGGAGGTATTTCTGATCGTGTGGTGATGTTGACGGTGACGGGTGTGATGTGCTGGTGCTAAATGTGCTCGCGTTAAGAAACGACTGTAAAAGAAATTCGTAAAAAAAAAAGGGCAGCGACGAAACAATCACCGAGTGACAACAAGATCGTGCGAGAGATCCGTGTCTCTTTGATCGTGGTGCCCTCCTGACTAATGAAATAAAAACGATCGTGCGATTGATAAGTAAAAAACCGTACAATGTAATCGCGCTAATAATAATAATTGATTAAAAATAAATAATCGAATAACTTTTTATTGGACGCGCTAAGATATTTCGGTGTCGAATACCTCAATAATCTAATCGCGTTCGAAATGTTAAATCGCTACTAAAGTTTGCGCTATTCTGTGACATCACTTTGTGCGATGGTTCCGTCGACAATTGGAAAAAGAATACGAGTGTAAAAATGTGTTTTATTATTACAAAATAACGTTATAAACTTCCTTTAAATTATAATACTGAGAAATAAGTATAACAAATCCGATATAATGTCTAAATAATTCGGCTGTGGAGAAAGGCGTGTCACAATTACGTGATAAACTTAAATTTCTACGTAAAAATCCTGTTGATAGAAATATTAACTACAAGTGTTTCAATAAGTAAATAAATAAATTCAGTCAATTATAGGGAATAAATTAATAAATGCGTAGTAATAGATATATATTTGAAAAAAAAAAACCATTTTTAAGCAAGCCGCGTGTGATAAATGCAATCGATTGAACTCTAAAATACTAGTAGAATTGCAACGTAACGCAAAAGCATTGACGAATAAAAGAGAATTTGAAACGCGTGATAATTCGGCAAAACTTATCGGAAACATCTTCGTGACAGTAGGTATGGCCGGCTCCTGTCAGCCAGAAAAGCGGAGATGTCAAACATTGTTCCGACGGCAGCCGTTTAACCCGCGACAGGTCGGGACAGACGCAACGCGGATTCGTTTTTAAATCAATAACATAAACCTCACCGAAGCTATTCTCAAACGCGACATAAGCTGAAATGTATAAATAACCAATCATTTCGAGAATATCAGTTCGCCGTAATAAATAATGCCTCGAAAGTCACGCTAAATCCAATTAACGCTTTGAAAGCATTGGTTTTTATTATATCAAGTATTTTTATAACTATTCAAGAATATCGTGTTAATTTTTGAATATAATTGTGAATTACATTTCTCGATTTTACAGTAAAAAGATGATCAATGAAGTAAAACTTAGGAAAAATGAGAGAAGAATTCAGTGCTGCAATTAAATATTTCATCACTCCCTGTTTTTTGCTGATTAGCGTAAAACAGAGATTTGCACGCGAACACTGTATTTCAGATAGCCAAAAGAGTTTTAGGAATCCTATTTTTATCGTACACTTAAAATTAATGAAGGCGATGAACGATGACGTATCCATGGAACACTGTTGAGATATCATTCGGGCAGTCGTCCGTATTGAACTAAGATCACGAGAAAGAGTAGCCAAGTCCAAAACGGAAAATCCAGTAGAACCAGTTTCGTCGGTTCAGGTACACGTTTGAAAAAAAAAAGGTCCGGTTTTGGAGCGAAAGGGTTTCAGTAAAGCGCGCGGCGGAACTGTTTTGCTGTCGGAATGCCGCGTGCAGTTAGCGGTTCGATCGATGGTCGCGTATAAACAGCTAATAATCAAACGAATCGTGTCATAAACAATCCCCACGGTAGGGGCGGTAGGGTGGTGGTAAAAGTATAAATGAGTGTCGATCGGTAGTGGGGTATACAACCAGGGGTGGGGGTGGTGGCTTCGAAAAGCGCAGAAAAGCTTGACCCGCATAAAAATTTGTTTCGATACATCCGCGAATCCACGCGAATCCATTCTCTCTTGTTCTCTCTCTCTCTCTCTCTCTCTCTCTCTCCCTTTCTCTCTCTTCTTCTTTGGGACCGGAAATTAGTTAATAAGAGAAGCCTATCTATTATAGTTCCTAGAATACCGACCTGTTATGATATTCGGAATCCGCATATCCATTAGTTCGGACGAAACGTTTAATTATTATTTCGAGGATTTCGAGTATCATTTGTTTTCGGAAGATACTTTGAATTTTGATTTCTTTTAACTATAATTAGGTACGTTATCTAAAAGCTACAGCAACTTCGTTCAATTAAAATTGATATTAATTTTTTCAAACTTCTGTCAGGTATAATCGTTTATATTTATCTGAAGTTTAAAAAAACTAATAGTATTCTCTCTGACATCTAAATTGATACATATTGAGAGAAATGTACATATTACCATTCATTTTGTTGATATGTGAGACTAAAACGTTCTTATTCTTTCATGAATAGTGTTGTTCTAATCAAATTATCCTATAATCTGTTTTCTGTTCTTGTATTAGACTGCACTAGAACTCTCTTTCACGATTTCGAATATCACACATTTCTCACACTATAAATATCATACATTTCTCACTTTAAGTTTCAAAAGTGTACACTAGTTTAGCCACAGAAAACAAACCTCTAATCAAATTTTGGTTACTTTAGCGAAATTTTCATCAGAATAATCAAATTTTGATTAGAAATAATAATTGTGTTGTCCAAATTAAAATTTGGTTGTTCTAATTAAATTTTCGTTAGGATAACACAATTTTTTCAATGAAAAAATAAGAAAATTTTTGTTAATCACATATCAGCAAAATGAATTATACGTACTAAATATTCCTCTTAGTGCAATCTCGTAGTCAAAGGGCTAAGCGTGAAAGAACTTTTGTGATAGGACATTGCAAATCGAACTTCATTTTTGTATATATTTAAATATGTATCCCCTTCCTCCCTGGCAAAAATAAAAATCGGAGCGTAAGTCGAATATATAAAGGGAAGCGTAAAGTGAAGCTTCTAGTTCTTCTAGAGGTAAAACAACGAAAAAAGAGACATTTATACTTTTTTCATGTTTCGTTATTTCAATTTTTGCCTCTTAGAAATTTTATTTACACTTCTGTCATTCTCTCCTTACATTCGACTTACTTTCCAATTTTTATTTTTGCGGGATGAACTATGTAATTTTCAATTTTTAGACAAAATATCTGTGATTATTTGTCATGATGCTCCAAAAAGCAATTTATTATTAAGTGTTCAGTCAAAATTCGGTTATGATGTCTAATAATATCTTTGTGCGAATTTTTAAAATTTCTTATTAATTTTATTAGACATTGTTTTTTCATCTTGGTTATTTCTCTCTCTCAAAATAATTTTAAATTATATAATTCAATTGCTTTGCGGTATTTTATAAGTAACATCTTTTTCTAAATAAATTGCCGTTTGTCCAAAATTATTGTTTTATGTTGCGTAAAACTTATAAAGTTTTACCTTATTAAAATTTTGTTATTAATAGAAGTGCAAAAATGAAACAGCTTTTCACCTCTTAGACATGTATGGTTAATATTGATGATATTAAAGATTATAATTTCATATATTTTTAATCTGTAAATTATATTTAAAAAAATTTTATTTGGATCACATTTAAAAAATTATATTTATTTGATATAATGAAAATCTGAGCAAAGACGAGCTCATCTTTAGTATGTTTTTCATTATATTTTGTATTGTATTTCAATAACGAGCAGGTTATTATTGTTTATCTTTAAATTTATTTATATTTGTTGATAGCTAAAAGAATAATATAGTATTTTCTGCGGATTCTTGTTCATAATGCAACACAGTGCGACCCGCTTTGAAAATCTATAAGCGATTTTACCAATATATTATTTATAGGAAATATTTTCCAGCTTCATATTTTATAAACTTTATACGTTTGCGGATTTCACATTAAGCTTATGAACAAAGATTCATAACAAAGAAACATATCACAATTAGATTCTTTTGCGAAGGAAACAATTTTGCAAGATAAAATAAAATCGCAGATAGATTGTCCATAAATTAACACTAGACTGTATTTCACGGTTTTTATATTATTTTAATGTCTTCTTGTCGTATCAGTATAATTTTTACATAGCGTCGCAATATCTGTCATCGACGTCTTTCTCCGAATAGAATTCTCCGTATCTTCGTCTCAATCAACATACGTATCATTGCGTGTCTAATTTTCTCTGTCTATTCTCGCATAAACTTTAAAGCGATTTACCCGTATCTTTTCGAAACGGAACTGTTTCAATAAAGTCTTTGACAGGTATGACGTTAATCTTTCACAAAAACATATAGAAAATATAAAAAGTTCAACAAGAAGTCGAAAATACACACGTATCGCGCCCGTCCCGGGAAGATATAACGGACCTTTATTCTTGTCT